TAATACTAAGTATCCACAGGAATTTCAGTAGCTTCGACTGACATAGTAAGAACCCCAATGGCCTTATATCTTTCCTTAGCTCCTGTTTGACCTAATGCTGTCAATGTGAATATGAAAGGAGTTTAAGGACACTTTGAAAAAGTAAATTAAAAGGGAGTCCTGTTTCTTTTCTCGCTCCTCAAGGCAATCGGGAACACTGCTGCTGTCTCTCAGGGCGAGCTGCAGCGTTAAACGCTGAAGGAGCACACACTTGCAATGAACGCTCAAGGTGCACAGAAATGGGGGCTGCCGAGACACTTCGTTCCTGTCATTTTGAGATCCTGCGTTCCAACCAGCTGGCTGCAGGCCAAGCTGCATGCTCCACAGTCTCTTAAAGTCTATAAAACTGCATTTCCCTCCCATTAAGAGGGAAACCACTTTCATGTTGTGTTGCTGTAAAAGTAGCAACAAGCTAATGTTGTCTCTACACACCTTGTTTAATATTCCTTGTAAAAGTATCCACCTGACCTCACTGCGACAGTATATAAAAAAGTTCCAAGGGAACCTAAACCCCTTGGTTTAGCCTAACAGAATGGATGTCCTATTTTTTCTAATCAAAATCCCAAACTTTGCATTAACAGCCCGATCCTGCTGCCCAAGGAAAGGTTCTTCTATCCTGCCCTTTCCTCTGCTAGTACCTGCAGCCGATACTTGACAAAACGGAACTGTGGGGAGCTCTGGGGAGAGAACGAGCACGCTCGTGCGCTCTCATGGCAAGCAGAAGCTCTAGTTTGGCTCCCTGAGCTCTGGGCCAGCTTCACCTTTCATAACAGCTTAACATTTAGCTATTTGATTAACTTAGAATTAACTTTGATAAAGTTAATTCTGATTTTTAAAATGAAGTGTCAGATCCTCATGGCCAAATTATCAGCTCAGTACAGCTGCACTAATTTCCACCAGCTGAAGATTTGGCCCACAGTAGATGAAAACAGCATGGAAAGAAAATGGCAGATTGTCAAACTGACTAACACTTCTGGGGAAAGAAGATGGAAGAGTGGACGATAAAAAACTTTCACAGTTTTCTTTTGCCTTAACAGTAGTAAAAGCCTGTAAATTTTTGTGCCTCTTCTTCTTGTGGTTTCTGTTGCTGTTTTTGTGCTTCTGTGCTGTGAAGGACTGCTTCATGGTGCTACTCCTTGCTTCAGGGAACGACAGCATACGAAGGCCCTGCTTGCTAAACACCTCCCTGCCACTCTTTTTTCATCATTCATCACACTAATCTTCTAAAAAGGGGAAGCCTGGTTTTGTGGTTATAGTGCTAAACTGGGAGGCAAGCGTCTGCCACAGGTTCACTGTCTGACCACGGGCAAGTCATCTCATTTCTCTGTGATTCAGTTTTCCACCTATAAAATGGGGATAATAATAGTCCTATGCCTTTTCAGGGGTGAGTTGAGGATAACTTGCGTGCTCTTTAAGCAAGGTGTTTAGAGGGTAACTTCAAAGTAAAGCTAATAAACATGAAAATACAAGTCACCCTAGCAGAGCTCTGCCTGTGCATTTATAGTGGCTTGGCAAAATCATTTATATGTGGAAGGTTTTTCTTACACAGTCTTCACTTTCATACTACAGACTTCATGCAAAGCAGGTTTTGTGCTTCCTGCAGTAGTCAGTAAGGGATAAAAGGTTAAATAGCTCTTCTGATTAGAAGAAAAGGCCGCTTTTGGAGCTACATCGGAGGTGACAATTGCCGGACATTCCCCTTGACATGGGAGGGATTTTCACCTGTTCCACAGCTCTCCCCGCAAATCCCCCATGAATGCCCTGGCTGCAGGGGAGGCCCCATGCACTGGGTCTTGCAGAGCTGCTCCAAGCAATGGGGAGGGAGCTGGCCTGGGCTAATTCGCCCTGCTTGCTGTAGATGAGCTAGCTTGCCCAGGGTGAGCTCAAGTCTGCCCACCATGTCTGGCGTTGTGCCAGCTAGATGCACATACAGTGCCTAAACTAGATGCAAAGGGGAAAGCTAATTCTGGCCTTGCTACCCTTAATGTAGCCCTTGCCCTGTTGACTCCAGAGGAGCTATTTACCTGTGCAAGAGGCTGCAAGTATGTGGGGATTGCTCTGTCAGACTGCTTCGTTTCACGCCAGGCAGATGAAATGCCAGATTCCAAGTGGGCAGCACCCGGCAGGTAGGACGAGAAAGTAGGGTGTAAAGAGGTCAAACTTCATCTGGGTGCGCTGACTTAACAGCAGAAAATGTCTGAACTGAATTTGAAGGAATAAATTACATTGCGGGGTACAGATTTGGAAGGATCTGATCCTTGGTTCCACAGGCCCTTGCTTCAGCCTGCTGAAGCTTAAAGTATTTCAAATGCATGAGGTATTTTATATGTGTACACATCCTGTGTGACTCCATGCGTTTGCGTTCAAGACCAGCGTCATGAGCCGAAGGCTTGAAACAGCTTCCAGATTTGCACTGCTGACGAATGAAGCAGTTGCTCTTGACCAACCAGAATTTCAGATAAAAGTCTTTTTCATCTTTCATCTCACCCTCCCCCCCTTTTTTTTTTGAAGCCCTAATGGGTCTCTTTAATGGTGAAACCACTACTGCATAATATGTCTTTTTATATTTTAATTTTTTTTCTTCTCGGGATAATTTATAGCACAGTGTGGAATCTGAGACAGTTCAAGCTGTGCCAAAGGGCCTGGCAACAGGAAGAAAAGCTGAGCCACTGCGATTTGGAACCATAATACAAGTTATAAAATTTAATTTTAGAAATGCAGCTACTGGGAACAGCTTTTAAATGTACATTTTCCTTTTAGTGTATAAAATGTTCCTGTGTCTTGATTAAGCTGTTAGGGTGGCGTGAAAGAGTGCTCTGTTGAGTAGGGGACATGCAGAGCTTTTCCAAGATGATTTGCTGCATATTCACTGATATACAAAACTGGCAGCTGGGTGTGTGTGGAGGTTTATATATTAAATACTATAGAAACGTGTGGAACAGGGCATTGTGGATTATTTTAGTGAATTTTGTGACAGTCTCACTGTGGTAGCTGTGAGTTCAGAGAGGACTCACCAGAAGAACAGCAATGGCCATCTCCACAGGGGGAGGAAGGAAATGCAAAGAAACCTGCAGAAGGCAACTCTTCCTGACAAGTAAAATGAAAATCAGAAGCAGATAGATACCTAACTGTGGTATGAACAGAAACTGCAGATAATGCTGCCTTTTTCAAGGAAATAGATAGAAATAAAGATGTCAACCTCTTTGACCTCTGGAGTAGAGGTTTGACATACAGTCACTTAAGGGTAATAGTATCTTCCTATAGGAAGAACGAGGAAGGGGTAAGCCACGAAGATTCACAAGACAGATGATTTCTTGGAACAAACAGAAAGTGCAGAAATGAGATTGGTTTGGGGGGAAAAAAAGGAGGAGGATGACATCCACTGCTCCACAAGAAAGTCCCCAGGTGGAAGGTACCAAAATGACATTTTTTGAGCCAGATCCTTGTCCATTGACTAAATACAGGTGGGGTCAGTGAGTTTCCTTACGGTCCCATTGCAGTCGGTGTCTTGAACCCATTTGGAGAGCGCTTCTTTAAAAGACAGCTTGTTTTCCAGAGGTAGTCTATTTTTGGTCTTTCTGCTGAAACTATGAATGAAGAGCTGTTTTTTCTTTTAGAAGAAAAAGTCCCATTGGGGAAAAAAAGTATCCAGGGAAATTTTGACTGTGCTTAGTTGGGAACTAAGCTGAAACATCCCATTCCAGACATTCACCAAACATAGGTCTGCTAGGAAGGTTTCCATTTTGACCCTAAAACATGGTGTCAGCAGGCTTCCAGGATAAGATACCCTGGTGGTGAAGGATATCTCATCAGACTGGAAACCACAGGACACAAAAGTGCTTTGCAAAGTGGTGACCATAGGTTAACTTTTAAGAGATATTAGTAGGTGCAGAAAGAGAGGATTTAAAATTTGTGTTTTCGTGGTGCCTACTGGAGAGCACGTCCTCCAGGAGACGAGACATCCTTCCTGTAAGCTCTGTACACAGTCTTTGTGGTTACTGAGCAGCATGACATTTTATGACAGGGATACAGGCAAAGGATCCCAGAGTACATACAATGGTCAGAAATTCATTATCTTATCCTTTGCACACTGCTCACTGCTGTTAGTTAGGGCTTATCTTGAAAACTGTCCTACCCATGATGAGAGATGACTTTGCCCTTCCACCTGAATCTGGATATGCCCGGGACGTGGTGTGCTGGATCCATGCCCTCTGAGCACCTTCCCTGCCCCCTGACACCCTGTGGGACTGCAGCGCCGGAGTTTCATGAGGGCTGCCCTCAGGGAGCATTGGACCCTGTAGCTCCCACATGGCTAACACCAGTGGACTGGCCCATGCTATAAGGACAGTGTTTGCTCTCTGACAGTGGGATGTACAGTGGGATCTCATTTTTGGCGAACTCCAAATGCCACTAAAAGTGATTTCATTTCCCTGCAGTTTCAGTTCTGCCAGTTTCTGGTGTTTCTCTGTCATGTCGTTGCTAAAGGATCCAAAAATGTGATTTGTTTGGGTATGTTATTTTGTAGCATCTTAGTGCTTATCTAATTACAGTACTTTATCACAATCTGCAATTGAATTTTTCCATAAGTTTCTCCAGAACAGGTGTAGCACAGGGCCCACTGAAGAGTTTCTTTCTTTTATCCATCCAGCCAGACAGTCCCCTTTTTTAAAAAATGTTTCTTCACCTAGTATGATGTATAAGAAAGCGCTGCAATTTTCAGTGGATCTGTTTTTCCAGAGTAGGCCATGTCCTGTAGAAGGTGGCCTCCCCTGTGATTGAGTTACAATGCATGACTTGTTTGTGTCTCCTTTTCTAACAGAGCAATCACTTCAGTTTAATTTCAGGCATCCACTAGCTGGTTAGGTGCCTTGCCAGTGGATCAGGGGTAAGAAAAAATAGTCAACCAACTTCATATGTCAGTGAGATTTTCTCATCTTTTTCCCCCCCCCCTCCCACAATAGGACATCGTCAGAAAATAGATGAGCAGACAAAGCCGGGGAGCTTGTCCTTTTCAGAGCGCCTGAGTGAACTGGAGCAGTTGCGGCGTACGGCCATGAGGGTCAGCCCACATCACCCAGCCCCCACACCTAACCCACGAGCTTCCTTGAACCACACCACTGCTTTTAACCCTCAGCCTCAGAGTCAGATTCAGGGTAAGTACCTGAACTCCTCCCCTCCGCTCACCCAGCGTCGCCCATGCGGTCTGCAGAGCTTGATGTCTCTGCGGCGCTCGTCCCCTCACTCCCTGCTTCTCCTAGGCTCTTGCGGCAGCCCCAGGATGCATGGAAGTCAGGGCAGCAGCCGAGGTGGTAGTGCGGCAGGCAAGGCCGGCCAAGGAGAGCATCAATGTTGGCTTTTACGGTTTGCAAAAGTAACCTGTAATCATGGCAGCGTAGGAAGATGAGCGTGGGAAAGCCATGCAAGCAGATTTTCTTCACTTCCCTTATACCATTTGGGGAGGTGAAAGAAGTGAAAGGAGGGGCTTCGTAGGAGATGTCTGTATTTTAAAAAATCTAACAGCTTTTATGGGGTATGTCATGTTTCATCTTTCCATTGTCAGGACAGTTCGTGGTGTTAACCTCGAATATGTTAGAACGGAAATGCTTCAAGTTTTCATTTTCTTGGAAAGATACCATGTTCCAGAATCCTTTTATAGGTGTAGGAATATTTCCTGTTGGACGCTAATCAATTAATTGTGTGCTTGAATGAGAGAGAAATACTGTCAATGGCTTGTTTTGATTTTTCCCGGGAAGGCAAAAGCAAAGAAAACTTTTTGAAGTGTTTTGTCCACTAAAGGTGACCACTTAGATCTAAGTATGGACAGGCTGATTTGAACATGTTTCTGTTGACAGTAGTTGTCCGATGGGTTTTATTTAAATGAAAATGTGCAAAACAGTGACTCAGGAGTCTGATTTCCTCCAAAGCTCAGGCTCGGATGATGTTAATGAAAGCAAGCAATCTAGTCTTAAATCTTATCTGTCACTGCTAGAATTGAGAGCATCACTGCTAAAATCAAATCTGTCACTGAAATCAGCTGAAATTTAGTGAGCAGCGAATCAGGTCACTAAACTGTCAGCTAATACATATTTTGCAAAGTATATATCAATGTGCAGATGAATAATAAAATGCATCTAAAGTGAAGGTGAAGGACAGTATTTGTTTCAGTGAGAGCTGTTCCTAATGGAGCTTTATTTTATTCTTCCTGCCAGAAAGAAATGGGCTTAATCAAGATTTTATGCTGGTGTTTTGGAAAGAACCAGTTACCATAATTTGGAATCAGTATTTTTGTCAGCATTTATTTTAAAATCAAGATACTCCTTGTTGCACACAGAAAAAAGTTGTTGCTTACATAATGCAATGCTTGTAACATCTTTTTATTTCCAGGGCTAGGAAGGCCTTTGGCCCAGTGAAATCTACTGTAAGCTTTCAGTTGACTTCACTGTGAGCAGAAGTGGGTGTTTTTGAGACTCATGAGAAATAAATCAACATGTTATCCTGTACAGTACTGCAAAAACAGGCGGGCAAAAAGCGGTGGCAGGACCGCGCAGGTCCTTTCCTTCCTGGAACAATGCCAGTGAACTCAGGCAAAGGATGTCATTCTACATCTCTCACAGCTCTTGACAGTCACCTCGCTTAGTTTCCTGACTTGTAGAGTAAACCGAGTGGGATTTCTCCTGCACACAGATCTGTTCCTATAAAAGAAAATGCATGTATTATTATGGCTACTCAGCAGTCAGCAGCGTCGTGGGTGGAGGCATTAGCTGCAGACTGGCATTCTTCAGCTTCTTTGGAACACTGTATGCTTAGCAGAGTATCAGGTTTACCATCAAGTGTCCCTCTTTCCATGCTCTGTTTCAAGTTCTTCAGTTGTACAACTTCAGAGCGATAGGCCTTTCGGACTCGTCTAGGGATTCGGCTGCTCTCTCCAGAAACATTTTCAGTACATTGCTCTGCTTTGCATTTTACAAATAGGATTTGAATGCATTTCACCTGTGAATGTACCTCAGAAAAATGATAGTGATTGAACTGCTAATGTTTCCTCATTGATACTCTCTTTTTAAACTATCAGGCTGCTTTCTTTGAGTTCCCCTTTTCCTCTGCATCCAAAATTCAGATGTTAGCCCAGTAACAGACTGAGCAACTTGTTGAGGCTTGCAGTCACTATCAGTAAAATTAGTCTAAAACTGAAGCCTCTCTCATTTAGGATTTTTTCTGCTGCAGTTGCCTTTTAATTTACAGCGCACGTCTTCTTAGGGTCACACTATCACAACAGGGTAAAAGGGCTATGATGGAAAGGAAATTTGGTGCCGTAATATTTTCCTCAGTATTCAAAATATGGTTGGTTTTTGGGTTGATCTCCCATGTGATTTCTAGAGGGTCAAGATATTTTCATTTTTTTATTTTTAATAAACTTCACTACATTTCAGAATGCAGGCCCCCAAAAATGAAACACTTCTGACATATTCCACAGTATTGCTGTGCTGAGGTATACATGTTTGCATGCTGAAACACTTTTATTAAACCGCTGTCACTGAAAAGAGCATGGGGTGCTTTTCATATAGACAGAAGGCATAAAAACCCCATACATTGCTAGCTTCTAAACAGTAGCATTAAACTTTGCTTTAACTCACACCAGTCTGAATCACAGGCTACTCCTCTGTTCATCCAAGTCTAATTATTCTTTTTTAAAAAACAAAACTAACTCAAAATAGACATCTCAGACTAGTTCTTGGATGTAAAGGGGCAGGTTGCCATGCCACTAAACCACTGTTTATTTGTTGAGGTTTTCATCTATAAAAGGATTGAGGTTAATTTTAACTTCCTATTTTACCAGGTCTTGAATTTGGGCATAAAGCAGCTTGTGTCATGGATACAAGTCCAAGCAAGTTAAGAGACCATAAATTGCTATAATCGAGTTTTATGCTTCTTTCATATCACAAGGAGGGAGAAAGTACACCTGTTCATTTAAAAGATCTAACCATAACCAATTCACAGACAAAAGGAGAACAGAAGGGAGAAAAAGCTTCTACCACATCACACATGTTTTAAGTTGAAAGATTAGTTTGTGCAAGTACCAAGCATATAATGTCAAAGGATTTGACCTACGCTCACAAGAGTAAGGCAATTCAGTTAAAGTTCAAAACCTAGCTAACATTTCAGCCTGAACTCACCCCTTTCTTTGTACAAAGAGGAGAAGAAAACAGAGATGTGCGTTGGATTGTTATTTACAAAAGTTTAGGTAGAACCTTTGATGATCATTCATACTTATATATATGAAATATAAAATATATGTGTCTATATGGTATGGTTGAGTTTCTTCTAATACCAGTCTCAATGAGAGAGTAGATACATAATTTGTGACTTTACAGTGGTTACTGTTAACCGGAGTAGATAGAGCCATAATTCAAGATTTTACAGATGTGAATTTATATGGTTCCTTTATAACATATATTTTTTTTCAGGGAAAATAGGAGTATTTTAAATGTGTAAATAATCAGTTCAAGAAGGTATTCCTGTGGAAGTAGTGATGCAGAATTAGTAAACAGCATAAATAATTTCTAATTGGTGGAGTTAGGAATATCATTCCAAAAAATACATACAGTTAAATAACTTCATTTGCTTTTTTTCAGATTAGCTAAAACAATGTTTCCAACTGATGATTTATTAATTACTTATAGACTAGAAGTATAAAATAAAACAATTTTTCCTGTCTAGGGAAAAAAAAAATCTTTATAATCACATTAAGCTGCATGCTTCTGGTTCTGTTTACACTTTTATAGCCTTAAAAATGTCTCAGTTTGCTCACTCACTTTTTTTTTTTTTTTTGGTAACCTTATATGTTAAGTTTCAGCCATGGCCACTTTTTTATGACCAAGTCTAAAACCCCTGGAAACAAGAGTCTATAATAAAATTGCTGACAGATCTTTAACCAAAGCAGAAGAATTAACACCTATAGCAAAATAACAGAGATCATTTAAAGATCAGCTCTTTGAATTAACAAGAAATTTAAAGACTGAGAGATTATTTTGTTACAAGCCAGCCTTTTGTCTTCTTCCAGGTGCAATACGCTTTGTTTAAGAGACATTTCAAGGTCTTTGCTATCATAATCTTGTTCCACCGAAAACAGCCCAACTTTATCTGGGTTCCCATGAGCCAGTGAAACACAGTAGTGGTGTCAAGGGCGGTGTTTAAGCACAGGGAATTAAAATGGCTTTGTTCCTATTACAACTGTATCCTGCCCCAAATTTTAATATTTCCACTTTAAATCATCTTAATAGGCCATAGGTTAATAGAGTTAGAAGTGTTCGTAGGGCAGAATTTCAAAATGATCTGGCAGCGCGGCGCTAGGCTTAAGCACAGCTGCGATTCCATCTCAGTGTTTTGCTGCTGCAAAATGCAATTTTGAGGCGCTTTGGAGAATCCTAATTGACGTACTGGTAACTTCCTGCCAAAACAGATAAACAGGCTCTCAAGATGAGAACGCCAACTCTTTCCATTGTATAACACGCCAAATGCCTATATTTTTATGGCTCTTGTTGGACCAGCCTGCGTCTCCCTCTCTTTCTCTCGACGTACGTTTTCTTTAACTCGGCATGCTTGCGGGGAGTACATGGTGCTTTAATGGCATATCATCGTGTTTCCACTTGATTAACCACCTGACCTTTCCAGCCCAAAATACACTCCCCGGCGCATTCAGCGAGCGCTGCCTGAAGCTGGCGTCGCTCCTATCAGTTTTACTCCTACCTTCCCCCTGCCTGGCCGAAAGGCGGCCGAGCTAGTTGCGGCAGCGCGCTGGTGGGTTATGTCATTTCCAGTCAGCTCCCCGGCTCCGGCACTTTTCCTGGATACGCAGGGCGCAGGGCTCCCGAGCCCAGGGATACAGTATCCACACCAGGAGCCAGCTCACATATGTTTTATTGGCAGCCAGGGAAGATCCCTTTGGGAGCTGGTCCCCTCCCTAGCACCCAGCTCACGGGGTGAGCGGCCAAGGTGCAGAACAAGGGCTGGCAGCCAGCGCCATGCTAGAAGCAGGGAGTCTTCCTCCCCTTCCTCCCTTTCCCTCCTGTCAGTGCTGGTAGCCTCCAGGTTGTCCCTCCGCTTTCTCTTCCCTCCTCAGAGCCTTTGCCTGGATAGGGATAAGGGAAGGAGGAGG